CTCCAGTCTAGGCAACAGAGTGAGACTCTCTCTTAAAAAAAAAAAAAAGCCGAGTGCGGTGGCACCTATAATCCTAGCACTTTGGGAGGCCAAGGTGAGTGAACTACCTGAGCCTGCGGGTTTGAGACCAGCCCAGGTAACTTAGCAAGACCTCATCTCTACAATAAATAAAAAATTTAGCCGGGCGTGGTGGTGCACACCTGTAGTACCAGCTACTTGTAAGGCTGAGGTGGAAGGATCGCCTGAGCCCAGCAAGTAAAGTAGTGGTGGCCATGAGCGTGCCACTGCACTCCAGCCTGGGTGACAGAATGAGAGTCTGACTTAAAAAGAAAAAAAAAGAAGTACAATGCCTTGCACAAGGTCCCATGGTAAGTGCCTGACACTGGAGCTCAGGCTCTTTACCACCATGCTTTGGCAGAAGCCATCGCCCCAAACCTCAGCCTCCCCTCCTGTTGCATGAGTCTCCACTGCTTCTTTATGACTAAGTGCCTGCAGATACCAAGCACAGATGATTTAGTATTGCTGGTAACCATCCCGTGGGCATGTCATTTTTTGCCACAGGACTGGAAGCTTCCTGAGGGCAAAGACCCTGTGTGATTCCAGGGTCTCCCCTACCTTGTAAAGGTATGGCTGGTTAGTTGCGCTTTGAAAGAGCCTCTCAGCTCCAGGGTACCCAGCTGATGTTTTCCAGTCTCGATATGTGTCAAGGTCCTTACCTGTCAGCATGTCGTGAGTGGCACCTCCTTCAGAGGGTTGCTGGGGAGAGGCCATGAAATAATGGCAGGGAGGTAGTACCCAATAATTGGGAATGAGAATGATGCCCCTAAGAATAATGTGTAGAGAGACCTTCTACTCATTTCTGAAGCTGGAAAATCAGCTTCAGTGATTGAACCAGACAAAAGTCATTGGTCCCCAAATAGATGACCCAAATAGGGATCTTTGAACTCACATTTCAGGACTCAAGAACAGCTGACGGCCAGGCAAAGTGGCTTGTGCCTGTAATTCCAGTATTTTGGGAGGTGAGAGGATTGCTTGAACCCAGGAATTCGAGTCCAGCCTGGGCAACACAGCAAGACCTCATCTCTA